AACCACGACAACTACTTCACAGAGTACCTATTTTTTTATTGTTCACGTGTTTCTGCCTTTGTGAAATAAATATTTCCACGACATTACAAATATTTTGCAGATAATTATTGTCCCTCATTAAGCTTTTTTTGTTTTTGCTGAGACCAGGTTCTGTCCAACGGGGAGCCGTGTGTTCTGCTGCAGGCAAAGAAACTTTCTCTTCGCTTTGAGAAGCAGAAATCTCTGGATCTGACAGAACGGGCCTTTTCTCCTCAGAACCCTGTGGACACCGGTCAGTCTGTCTGCCGTCGGGACCAAGCCTCGTATGTAAAAAAAAAAGCCCTGTACATATAATAAAAAGCCTCATATAATGAAAAGTCTTGTWGGTATAATAAAAAGCCTTGTGTGTATATTTAATCAAAAATCTTCTAAGTATATTAAAAAGCCTTGTACGTATCATAAAAAGCTTCATACGTTTAATGAAGTCTTGTAGGTATAACAAAATCTTCACATGTGTAATAAAAAGCCTCATAATGAAAATCTTGTAGTTATAATAAAAAAACCTCATACAGATAGTAAAAAGCCTTATACGTATAATTAAAAACTTGTATGTATAATAAAAAACCTCATGTATAATAAAAAAAAAACCTGATACGTGTAATGAAAATCATGTAGGTATAATAAAAAAACTCATACAGATAGTAAAAAGCCTCATACATGTAAAAGTCTTGCACGTATAAATAATACATCTACAATGAGTTGCAGCCTGGGGAACATACTATCAACAGTAATGATTTGAAAATGGATAGTGACTATTTATTTCAGCTACAGTTTTATAATTTATTTCTACAATGAATACAAGAAAAACAACATAACACACATTCTATACTGTATATGATGTCCATTTGTCACGTTGGTATTTTTTTTTCAGGCTGATCATGAGATTTGGAGATGTGGACAATTTGAGAGATCTTTCAATCAGGTTAGCTACACATCAGAGTGTATTTATAGTATAAATCTGATGGTTTCTGGTCAGCTTCTGTTGGCTGTTCAGCTAATTAATTCGGATGATAACATGTTTGCCTGTGTCTGTTAGTAAAACATCTCTTGAACCAGATTCAATGAAACTTGCAGAAAGTGGTTGCAGCCAACATGGCTGCCACAGTAACGAAACTGAGCTTGTTTTTCCACAAAATCTTTTTGAAGATAAGTGTTTAATATTACAAACATGTTTTTAAGAGTGAAATTTTGCCCATTTCGCTTCAGGCTGCAGCTCTCCAACACATTTTATCAGTCTTCTGGTCGGTGGTGGTTCTCGCTGGACGACATCACTCTTTTCTACAACACCTCAGAAGAAGCTGTGTTCAACGCCACCGATGTTTTTGCCCCGGCCTCTTCCTCCTACCGCTGCCTTCATGTCAGCAGTCTGCAYAGATACAGCGGTCTGTTGCAGCCGAGCACAGACCGAGCACGCCGTTGGTCCATCACCTTCATCGATTTCCAGGTACCTGTGTCTTTATTTTCCGGTCGTATACACTTATATTTAAATACCCACTTCATATACGTCTCTGGCTCCTCTTAGATCCAAGCATTCAATGTGAGCTTTGGTAAATTCTCTCCCGCGAGCGACTGCACCACTGTCCTGACCCCGGCCATTCTGATGGGCCTCGTCACATCCCTCATCCTGCTGCTGGTGTTGGCCTACGCCCTGCACATGGTGGTCCACCTCAAGCACATCCAACACGATGACGAGCTGAAAGTCGACATCTACTTCCCCCAAAGCCCCGAGCTCCTCGAAGCCTGCTGTGAAGACACCATTGCTGAGAAAAATGTTATTTAAAAAAAAAAAGAGAGACACAGCTGGTGTGGTAAACAAACCAAACCCATGTTCATTTTGTAAGCAAATATTTTGTTTTGTATTTTGACTGTTTGTGCAATGCAAATGTTTTGAAAACTCATTTAATAAAAACTTTTTAAATAATCCTTTTACAAGTGCAGCATTTACAAAATAAATATATAAAAGTAAATATAGGCTGGGTAACACTTGGATGTCTTTTTGTATCATAAGTAGCAGTTTTTTTCTTACATCTTTTAATAAGCTTTTGCGATGTCACAACATGCTCTAAAATATAATTTAAAAAATATATTTTAGTTTTATTACTAGGATTTATGATTGATCATGGTAGAATCAGTCCTTGCATTACGGTGATGTGCTGGAGTAATATTTCTGCTTTATTTTTTTAATGGGTAAAATAATCATCATGTGAATGCCAGGGATCATACTACTAACTGTACCTTTTAATGGTCATGATGTTATGGCAGATTTACATATTTAATAGCATCTAAAATGTTTTGTTTATTTTATTTTAGCCTAGTTACGTATGATCTGTTGTAATTTTAACTTTGTCCGGCGGTGGCGCGCTGGAGCCTGTTGAAATAATCAACCACAACCCGGAAGCACAAGAAGAAGAAGAAGGCTCTGCATGTGTTAGAGGAAAGTTGTTTTAGCGGACAGACAGGTTAATGTTATGTGAAAATTACAAAACAAAWTTTAATTCGGCGATTTAATTCTCGAAATTTGTTAAATATTTTATTGTTAATTGCACTGGTGGGAAGTTAATTCAGCTCACCGTTTTTGCTGGATTTTTGCTAGTTAGCTTCTTGCTAACCGGCTAGCTGTGGGGCAGTTTTGTTCTGGTCACGTGATCACTGGACTCGTCCACGGTGACTTGATGTTTAACCACCTGTCCGCTGTTCTCGGTCTGTTACCCCGCTGTTTCCTCGCCCCATCACCGAGGACCTTCGCCGGAGCCTGCCGCCTCCTCGGCAGCATGGAGGGGGCCGTGGTGAGGTGCCTTCCCGGGGAGCCGAAGCTCACCATCTCCTTCTGTCTGAACGGGAGCCACAGAAACATGCTGCGGAACAAGGASGAGGCGCTGGGGAACGTCCTGGCCCGGATCTCATGCTTTTCGGCCAAAAACCACAAAAAGGCTAAGAAGCCTAAGAAAGACCGCGATCAGCAGCCGAGTGAGGATGCGGAGCCCSCCGTGGTGAAGCTGTTCTTCCGGGAGGACGAGGTGTCCGACACGCTGCCGAACTCGGAGGCTTGGCAGGACGGAGCGGTGCTGCAGGTGGGAGACGTTAAATACAGTGTGCAGAGGAACCCCCCCACTTTCACCACGGCCGAACTGCCCGTGTCCCTGCTGGCCGGGTTTCCAATCTGCCCCAAGCTGGAGATAGAGTTTGGGAAGCTGGGAGACTGCGAGTTCAGGTGGTTCCGAGAAAACCCAAGAAGCAGCAGGTAAATAAAGTGTTATTAACATTGAAT